TATAATTTTTGTTTTTATTATAAAAATAAAATATATATAAAAAATAAAATATATATAGTTTTTATTAAATAAATACTATTATATTTTTCCCCTGCTGTATACGACTCATTTTTGGACCTCAACCAGCTGAGAACTACTGCTCTAGACACAACAACTAAACTAATTAGAGACTATATTTAAATAGCAATAAAATGCAATACTAACTTAAATAAATAAATGTGGAATGTGATTTTCAACTCTTTCACTTCACAAACAAATGAATTATTCTAGCCAATCAAGCAGGTGATCATGTATTGTGTTTTGCACAGAACATTCTAACAGCGATGGATCAAACATGGCACCCAGAACATTTTTTCTGCAGCCACTGTGGAGATCTATTTGGACCTGATGGTGAGACAACTGCAGATTTATCAATTAAACTAAAACAATTTATCACCACACGAATGCCAAGAACATCCCACACTACATTCTGTGAGTCAGCAGATCTGGTCGTCATTTGAGAAATGACCGTTTGTACTGAATGAATCTGTCTTTTCCAGGGTTTATGGAGAGAGATGGTAAACCATATTGCTCTAGGGATTTCTACCGCCTCTTTGCACCCAAATGCTCCGGCTGTGGAGAGCCAGTGAAGGAGAACTATCTGTCTGCAGCCAATGGAACCTGGCACCCTGACTGCTTTGTCTGTGCGGTGAGTGAATTAGTGGCGTTGAAGGCTGGAATGCAATACAGTCATGTGACTCACTCCTTATAAATAAAGAATATGGAGTCAGTCAGTCTGTACTATTGTGTGAGCTTCAAAGGTGAATTCTTCACCTGCCTAATCTATCACTCCAGAACATTCTTCTTCATTAAACGTTTCTTTAATACCCTCTTTCTACATCTCTTTCCAGGACTGCCTGAGGCCTTTTACAGACGGTTGCTTCCTCGAGTTGAACAGTCGGCCCCTCTGTTCCCTGCACTATCACTCCAGACAGGGCACTCTGTGTGGGACCTGTGGAGAGCCCATCTCGGGTCGCTGCATCGCTGCTCTGGACCGCAAGTTTCACCCTGAACACTTTGTGTGTGCGTTCTGCCTTCGGCAACTGAGTCAGGGAGTGTTTAAGGAGCAGGCAGGGAAGCCGTACTGTTCGGTTTGTCATACGAAACTCTTTGTGTGAAAAACGTGACGTTTCTCAAGCAAAATCAAGGTTTTAAAGCAGTGGTTCTCAAATTTTTTAAAAGCCCCCCACCTTCAAAATAATATAAAATATGCAAATAAATATAAAATAAACAAATTAATATAATAATATATTAGAAAATATATTATATTAATTAACCAGGATTCATTTTGTGATTCCAGCAGTGTTAAAACCTGTATTTTCTTTAATAAAAACAATATTTAGTGAGGGAAAATAAACAAATAAAAATGTGACTTCAGTTTCCATCTTGATTTTTTTTTTACATTTCAATTAAGATTATTTTAACATACTAGTATTTTTTTTATTTAAATAATTTAAAGTCACCCTGTGGCCCCCTGGGGCCCCCTAGTGGGCCCCGACTCACTGATTGAGAATCACTGTTTTAGGCTACGTTTACACGACAAAGGTGTAGTCAAAAATGGAAAAGTTTTTGCATTGCATTTTAAAAAAGTTTCACATATACACAACAACGTTTTCAAAATGATTAGCGTTTACACATATCCACGAAATGCATTTGACTTGAAATCCAAGTCACATGCAAGACAATGTAAATTGTACTCAGAAAACATCTTAAAAATGTATTGTTTACTATGTTTTTTACAAAGTAAACTATAGCAATATGTTAAATGTCATTATTTAATTATATCATTACGTCACATCAATGAAGCTGTTGTAATACATGTTGAACAAAACAAAAAAGATTGTTAAAGATCTGAAATGTTCATAAAATAAAAAAAGGGATTCATTGTCTTTTACTCAAGTAGACTATGACATGAATTCAGTTTGGCTCTCATAGCATAACAAAACAAACATACATCTCCGCAGGCCTTTGAGGAGATTCCTGGGTAAATGCTATTGATGTACCATTATTTCAATAAGGTTTCTATGACTAAGAAGACTGAAGATCCTAATTAACTTAATACACATGTGTTTTCATAGCCCATGCATTACAGTGACATCATGGGGACATTTTCTGTAAACATTCAAAAAGGATTAAATAACACCGACCATCATTTTCTTGCTTGAATATACATGAACCCTACAGAAGCCTGTTGATTTTGTTGTGTGCATGACAAGGTCACATGAGGGAACATCACTATAGGTATTGCTCAAGATCCCTTGATTTGTCAGCTCACCGCACTCAAGGTTCAGCCAGGCAGTAACTTAAAGATGTGCCTTCTCATCTTCAAAGAATGCTCTTTGATGGTAAGAGATGACAGCTGCTTTTTGGGAGGATGGGTCAAAGCTCAAGATGTTTATCACACCATAACAGTCATGAACCACAAGAACAACCCACAGTGAGTGGACAAACACTCATACAGTATGTGGTGAAGTTGAGATTTTAATGCAGTGACTCAATCTAGCTTTTGCTTACCATAAATGACACAAATTCAGTCACAATACTTTCACTATGACAATACTATTACTGACATACAAGAAAGCACTCCTTTTATGTTTAATGATGTATGACAATCCCCTGTGACAACCCCTATCTCATATATATACTGATTTTGTATTAAGTTAATTTAGATTTATAAAGTTTTAAGTCGTATTAATTAGAAGTTGTATTAAAGTTTGTATAAAGACTTTTAAAGCCAATTAAAAAAATTTAATTCACACTATAAAATTTATTACAGCATTTTTTAAATATCCCAAAACTACCAAATGGATTTTGTTTTTGTTCTTGTGTCAAATTTTGAGTGCTGAGAAAAAGCTCTGAAGTATCTTCCTCTCATAAATAGAAATTGGGAAAGAGAGAGAGAGAGAAGGGAAGAGGAACACAGAATGCAGTGGTTGGGAAGACGTGTAAGCGTTGAGTTTATAAATCATGCTGTCATCACTACTCTTTTCTGGTTTATGCAGACTGGATTAAAATACGTTGCTGTCACAAAACAACAGAAACTGCTCTCTTTCATATTCTCTTGCTCCCTCTTCTCTGTCTACTGTCCCTTTGCTCAAATAACTGCTAATCTAGCTCTAAAATAGAGCTTCCTGAATGGGGTTTCTGTTTGGAACCACACTGCATACGACCTGAATTGTACTATCTGGGTCCATTTGATTTCTTTCCTTTTGATTTCTGGTCCTGTGGTACACAGCTGCTGGGGGTTCTGAGTGGTTGCTACACTATGTGGTAAATAGGGTGTATTTATTTTTCCATTGATAGGCATATACTCCATCCTCCTGCTCAAAATACATTTTTTCACAATACAAAATAAATTTTTTCAGAGACAGGATAGAGCTTAGGTTGGAATTCAGCATGACATTATGAGCACATATTGAGCTCTGAGCACATATTACTTTGGGTTTTTTATTCATATTGAATCAGACATGTCTAGTTCAGTGAACTTGAGACTCACTACAGTTGGATCATTGGAACAACCAGCCACACAGTATTGGCTCCCATTTTTTATGGACAAAAAATGTAATGGAAGTCAATGAAAACCAAAATGGTTTGTTTGCCAAAATTTGGAAGAACGTAAGTCATTTCATTTTTGGGTAAACTATCCCTTTTAAAGCTGCAATCAGTTCAGTCAAATTCACCAAAGAATCTTTCAATGCATTAAAAATAATTGGGTCTCTAAGCAGATCTCGATTTCTTTGTGAGTAAGCCATCAAATCATTTATTCAAACAACTCTTTCAAACTGTTGTTTAAAAGCAATAACCATCCAGCTTGCTTCAACAATATGAGAGAATTATTGGGAGCAATGGTGTTTAGTACCTTTAAAGCCATAGGGAATGAAACAGGAGCACTCAACCTCGTTAAAGCGGCAGAAATAAAAGGCCTGTCAATAAGTGTTGGTGTGGCAGGAGTCAGGTGACATTTACAGCTGTAGGGCTGAAGGAGGCTGGTGGGTGAATTGGCCCATGGATCCTATAGGGAGGGTAAATAGAGGGGAGTCATTCTGAAACACTACCCTCACCTGAACCAGACCTTGGCCTCTCTGTCACCCCACCGATCCACAAAGCCACGACATGGGTCACAAAGCACCGTAAATACTGCCCAACATGGCAACCCTGAGACCACACTCCCATAATAAACAATGAAGCCAATAAGTGTCCAGTATGTCACTGCCAGACAAGCCAGTGAGTGCAACAACACGAACAAAACCACATTCAGCAGTCTCAGACTCCTTATAAAGGACAGGAAAGATGAATGTGGACCGCTGGATGCCAAAATGATTAACTGTATGCGATACTTAATAAAACCAATGAAGTCAAATGTAACTTAATCTATTTATGGAGCAAACGTGAAATGCAGGAGTGGTCAGCAAAGTGGTGTTTTATTGATTTATTTGCCATGTCTTCCATCACTAACATGGAGACACGTCGTAACATTTATTCTTATCCGATCCAGATGGCTGCCAGTGCAAAGTTAGATGTTAGAGAGAAAAACTGTATTTTGAAATATGAGGCAGTAAAAAAAATAAAAAATAAAAAAGCCAAACATAATTAACTACACTTGAATTCATTAGAAAAATGTAACTTGACCGAAGAGATAAAACATGTCAGAACTAAGTCCAAAAAAAAAAAAAAACCCCAGAAAAAATGGTTTATTTATGCATTTTTGTAATATGGAAAAGAGCTTTGACATTTTGTGTTATTTGGGGAAAAGTCATAGAAACAATAATTGAAATTAAACCAAATGCATTACTCATTTTTAGTCGTTTCTATTTTTTATATACTAGAAACTATTTGTATAAAAATAATAATATAAAATATTATGATTGCATAACATATAAATAAAATAATTAATAAGGAAAAATTCAGTTAGAATTACTGACCCCTGACAAAATCTGTGACCTGTAATTCAGCTGAAGGTTTCCATTTCCATGGCAAATCCTGAATTAGTACCATCTCCAAAAATAAAATGAAAAATACTTCATATGTAATGATGTTTTTAGCTAACAGGTTAAAGCTAGGTAAAGCTTTACGGTCACCGTGATTTTGCCAAGTAAGACATGTTCCTGGATCAACATCTTTTGTTGATCCTGGATCAACATTAATGTCCAAAAATATAGACTAAACCCAATCCCTACCCCTAAACCTAACCCTACCCATAATTTATTCCTAAAATCAGTGTGAAATGAGAGCTGATTAACAAGGATGTAGAAGCACCTAACCCTGATCGTAAGCCTAAAACAGATATTTCCTGAAAACTTATCCCTTAATTCTGATTGGTTAATTGGAAAGTTGTTCCAGGATCACCAAGGATGCTGATCCAGGAACATATTGTACTTGGTGAAATCACGGTCACCAAAGCTTTACAGAGCACAAAGTTCAAGTCTGTGTAGACCTATTGGAGTAACTGCCCTCTAAAGAGTGGTTTTTAAACGAAGACAAGAAGTGACAACTTCAACACCCCCTAATTGCATCCTGGTGACACAGAGCCCATATATTAATTAGACAAGCTCATTCAAAGCTGGAGGAAACGGGCTGCATTCCCTCCGCCGCTACCTATATTTGGTTTGGCCCACAGCCAGCCTAGCGCAGGTATCACATCAGATTAATGACTAGCTTCTCTGTAGAGGACTTCCTGTCGTGCTTAGCTGATGCTACCTGTGCCAGGCAACTTTTTTTCCCCCTCTTTATCTTTTGATCTGTGGTTTCACGCTCTCTTTCCTTCAGCTTCTGAGTTTTGGCCACTAATTCCTTCGCTCAAGTAAGAACTCATGGTTTAAATGAGAATGCAACAAGCTGTTTGCATTGCTAAATTATGACTGTTTTCAAACAGGTGCCCAAGAATCCATTGATTTGAAGAATTTTATTAAAGGGATAGTCCACCTAAGAAAAATTAAAATTCTGTCATTATTTACCCTCCCCTCGTGTCGATCCAAAATTGTATTACTCTTCTGTAGAACACAAAATAATGTATTTTGAAGAATGTTGGCAACCAAATGGTTTTGGGTCCCATTGACTTCCATAGTATAGACACAAATACTATGTGAGTCAATGGGACTAAAAACTTACCAAAATTCTTCAAAACATCTTCTTTTGTTTGGGTGGACTGTCCTTTAATATATGTTTTTATCAATTGTGGGCCCTC